ATATATATTATATATATAATTATCGGAATAATTGTACAATAATCAATAATCGGTTATATATACTGTTATTGTAAAATGGGAACGAGAAAACGAAAGATTGTAACTAATTCGAAGAGCAAATTTCTGTATTTCGGGCATCGTTGTTCGAGCCATTGGTTTAAATTACAAGTATATCATTTCTAATTGTACCATAATCCGAAGTTCTATTCAATTAAACACGATAGCTTCATTTCAGCAGTAAAATTATCATTGTAATTCGTATTGACCGTTTCAATCCGTTCGCATCCCTACATTTCTATTCAAATTCCACTAAGAAATTCACATACGAGACAGGGCCCGTACGGGACTGCTGCGACAAAGACCTGACCTTGCCGATAGGCAAGTAAAATATATATATAAATTCATTAAATAAATTGCTGTGACGCGTGAGCTTCGTCTCTTTCTCTGCATCACACGTCACAGAACACAGTAATCGTGAGAAATTTTTCTATATCGTTACATCTGTTAGCTGGAGTAACTAAAAACTAATTTCTGATAATAGTTACATTAATTATTAACAATATTTGTTCAAGCAATGACTGAGAATATGACTGCTGTAATATTACACCGTATGGATAGCGGTAGATACTGTTTCTAAAAATATTCAAAATCATTACTAACCAATAGATAACTACAGTGGGTGTAGAAAGTATTCGTACACTGATCAATTTCCAAAAAAAACTATGTAAAATTGTAATTTATTAACTTATTTTTTATAAACAATGACATTCTATATATTCTCGGAAATCTGTAGAATAGATAGATTACAAAAAAAATAGCTATTTATGAAAGTTGCGAAATTAACAAGAAGGAAACAATTAATCGATAGAAATGTCGAAACAATAAGTATTCGCACAACTGTTTAAAAGTACTTTACTGGAAATTTGATGTTTTCTAATTCGCACGGACCAATAAACTAATGTGTTTACGTTACAAACTCTACTGTAAATGGTTCGTCATAAGAATCGTACAAGTACTTATTGCTTCTATATTCTTATCCACTTTTCGCATTTTTTTTGTTAATTTCACAAATTATATTAACTAATAAATGTTGTTTGGACTATATCTATCTTAGAGACTTCCGAGAATATGTAAAATATCATTGATTATAAAATAAAGAAGTGAATAAACTATAATTTCACGCAAAAATATGTTGGTAAATTGATCGGTGTACGAATACATTCTACACCCACTGTAGCTCCTGATTTCAGTCAGCAACCAATTACGTTTCTTTTGAGTAGCTTCGAGAATGTATATGTACGTGTGTTAAATATGAACCAGAATGATTCCAATCTAACATTGCTTCGCATCACGTAATAAATAGAAACAAAGTGCGCTTTAGCACTTTAAACGAAAATAAGATACCGAAAAAGTTCCAGGCGATCTTGGGACGTAACACAGCTTCCCCGTATCCGCGGTCCAGTGGACGAAAGTCCTGGATCGTTGACGATCGATCGTCGCTTAGGATGAATCGGCGTCGCATTTCTCTCCGGGTGACAGACGGTGGTTTTTTTTTCGAGGGGTCTCGGTGAGCGATAACGAACTTTGGCAAATTTAGCGCGCATCCGTCGTAGCTGGAAGCCCGCGCCGCTTAACCCGAATAAATAGGGATGTTCCGCGTCTGCAGGAAAATAGTATCGACCATCCTTTCCAGCTCGTCGCACCGGCAACCTCCGACTTCCGTCCTTCTCTTTCCCTTACTCCCTCGTTCTCGTCCTCGTCCTCGTCCTCGACGTCGCTCGCGCCCCTTCGTCTCAAGCCCTGTTGCACCACCACTTCGAGCAACCTGACCGTCTGAAACGTAACCTGCCCAGGGGTGGCAGGACGGTGGAGGGAGATGGAAGGGACGACAGAGAGGCCGAACTCGAGGGTGTAGCTTTCACGACCTTTCCGGGCTACGGAGTTAATATTTATCGAGGCTGCCTGTAATTTTCTTGGGAGTTGGCTGTGGGCGGGAAGGGGGCAGGGGGCGGCTCTCTCCTAACCGAGGGACTGAGCCAAAGGGGAGAGAAAATAATTAAGGTAACTCCCGACCAGTCTCCGTGTATTCGGCGATACGATACTTTTTTTCTTTTCTCCGTTAGACAGAGATGGCTGTTTCGCTATTTCAGTTTGCGGCGTAGGCTCGCCAGGATCGTTTCGACACGATCGTTTCCGGTTATTGACTCTTCCCTCCCCCATCCTCGAACCTTTTTGTCAGGATCGACGCAAGTAATAGAGAGTCCCTCGTTCGCGAATTTTACGAGCCCGCGTAACGCGGGAAGGTACGACGACGGTGGAGCTCTCGCTCCTTCCTTCGTCTTTCTTTTTCCTTCTGCGGAATCTATTCGTATTTGCAGAGGTATCGAGGACTGTTTCTCCTTTTT